TATATATATATATATATACTTTGGAAACAACCGTCTGCACTCTCCTGTCGGTTGAAACAAAAAGCACTGAAAGCGTTGATCTCTTTCTGCTTATTCAATTGTTCCGGAATCTTGTAAAATACATCAACTGGATTTACGTCATAATGAGGAATCTTGTAAGCTTAGAAAGGATTTCCAAAAATCGCGACTAATTGGTCCCTTAATATTATTTGCTTTGGTAACTGTAGATAAACTCCCTTATTTATAGAGGAATAATTTCGTGACGTTGTCGAGAAAAAAAAATGAAATTTTGAATATTCTATTTTATATTTAAAGAAAATGTTTCAAAGTAATTGGGTAACATGTCTAAATTTTAGAGTACTTTTAACCTTACGTTTAAATATTTTAGTTAAAGCAATTTTAAAAATTAAGGAAATAAAGTTTTATGTTTCGTTTTTAACCCTTAGAAACAGGAAGACCAGCGAAAGAGAGCCCAATTCCAAAATTAGGTAATTCTGAAACAATTCAAAGGTGTAGATACATTAATGATCTGTGCAAGCTGCATAGAGAGGCAGCGGCATCAACAATTAAAATAAACCACATTAAAATTGTTTGACACATCTGCGAATTTAACTTATCCTCTTTTACTATCAGAGACTTCATTTTCTAACTAATTAGTACACAAGTTAGAGACAGGCCTAGACAAAGAACTTGTTCACACTTGCACACGATTCACGCATTTCTAATCTTCATCCAAATCTGTGAATTTTTAGCTGAAAAACATATTTCACTAATCAAGTTCTCATTCTCACTGGACTTTGATCGGAGGTGCGATTCAGTGAGAATGAGACTAAAGGTGGGTTGGCTGCATGGAGAATGACTTTATAACACAGAGAATGACCATCTAGCAAAGGTTGGCTAAGTGGTGAACAGATTGTAAAAAGATTATAAATTAACTTTTTGGCCCACAAAGAGCTGTCGTATCAATTCGAAAGAGAATTTAGTTTTTTAAGAAAAGTTTTCAGACTATTCCAACAGTTGGCTGCAAAGAATTCTAGTAATAATTCCGTTTCATTCCGATTTTTTCTGGTACGTACAGACCAATATTTAGAAAATTTGTATTTATTTTTACTGATCTGTGCAGCATACACCATTGTCAGCTGGCAACTTCTGCTTAAGTTATAGTCTCATTACAGTGTACTGCACCATTAGTTAAAACTCTTAAAAGAATTCCGAAAATTGTGTCTAAAACTTTACATCTTTCACTATACTAAAAGAAAACACAAATATTTTTAATTCTAAATAGAAAAAACTTCTTTGAAACTTCTTTTGTTACGTATTTCTTTCTCTTGACTTCTTTCTTTTTATTCTCCATCTGCGCATTGTAATAGAGGGCGTTGTTTTCTTTAGTTTTTAGTGTTTTCTTTTCATTCGACTTGCTTGTGGAATCGATGTTTGACCTGTGACTAAGTGAGTTTTTATTTTTCTGATGATTTTGTTTGAGTTTCTTTTCTTAATTTACTATTTGTATTTCATGTTTTTTCCTGGACTTCTATACAAAACCATCGGGGTACTCAGGGAGTTAATTTAAGCATTTGTTTCTCCCTCAATTAGCTATGGCTACCTAGGCCGGTACTCCCTGAAGACGTCGGCTTCGGTGGTCATATTTTTATTTTTATTTCCTTCGTTTCCTTTATTTTTTGCATTTTTCACTTCACTATTTATTTCATTTTTTGATCACCTCTTATTTCATTTTTTGATCTTCAGTTATTTGAGAATTTTCCAATAATCTTTTGCATCTTTTTACTTCATTTATTTTTTATGCAAAAAAAATAAATTTTAAAATAACCATTGTTAAGCAACTTTAAAGCATTAAAGGTAAGAAATAAATTAATAGTTCGTAATGTAATGAAAAAAATCCACCTTAATCTGAAGGTACTTTTACATCAGTAAATAAAAATTTAGCAGAAACAAAATTTCCGTAGTTGTTATAAGAAACCAGTTTTACAAGTGAAATAAGTTTAATACTACCAAGGGTGATTCTCAGCTCAATATCAGAACCTGGTAAAATCATTCCCTCCTGGATGGCTCGACAGCCCAGGGTGATCCTTAACTTTTTCAAAGAGCCTTTTCCAGGCAAGTTTTCTTCCCTTTAATGTTTTCAAATTCCTGGTCCTCCAGACTATAGGAGGTCTTTATTAAGCACGTCAATCTATCTTAGGTGTCCTTTCTCCGCTCTTCAATTAAATGAAAAACGATTTTTTTTTTCTTTATTTATTTATTTTTTTAAGTGCTGCTTTTTTCCTAACAACGTAGCCTGCCTTTCTTATTTGCTGTCATTTAATGTCAGGTTTATTGTATGAACGATAGAGTTCCAAATTTGATCTTCTTAAACGCGTACATTTTTTTTAAAATTCCATCAGAGAAATAACTCTTAAAATCTTTCTTTCAAAGATACCATTCATGTTCTTATCAGACAGAGACATAAACCTAGTTTCACAAGTATTTATTAAAACAGGCCTTATAAGACTCTTATACAATAAAACAATTATTTTTCTGTTGATTACTTTCCATTTCAGGTATTTTCCGATTCCATTAAAACATCTGTTGGTGATAGTAATTCTCTTTTGAATTTCAGTTTTAATATCATTTCTGTTGTTTACTTCAAAACGTAAATCCAGAACCAGTTAACAACCTCAAAATTTTACTCTCCAATTTTTCAATTTCTTATTATAACAAGATTTTGCGAAGGCATGTATTTGGTTTTATTTGTGTGAATTCTTAAGCAAATGCTGATAGCCTATTTCTCTAAAGATAAGAAAATTTGTCTAAGTGCTGTGGTTGATTGGGCAATAATATCTATGTTACCTGTAAAAGCTAATTACTGTACTGATTTCTTAAAGATGTTTCTTCTTATATTGATGCTTTACATTTTTACCTATTAAAGTATCTAACAGTAAGCAAACAAAAAAATATTTTTTCCTGTAACTTTTTTGCAGCATCTCCCCTTTTTAATAGATGTCATCTCGAAATAAATTACTATCTTCATTTTATTTATTTAAAATTTTGCAGTTTTATTTCTTTATTATTATTACACTGTGTCGTCAGTGAATTCGTTCAGCAGCATTGAGTCAAAATTAGCACGATTTTGTCTACTGAAAAGGGTGATTTTTTTCTTCAAAACAACACCATATTTAATATGGAAAAAGTGAGTAAGGAGGTAATCAGGGTTCATCAGGAATCAGCACAAAAGTTTTATATCATCCTTCTTTGAAATCAACCACATACCATTTCATTTGACAATCACCTGGCTTCAGCCACGCTTAAAAATTTAAGTAAATGACAATTCCTATCATATTAGGCAGGTTTTATAAAAGATTTAGGTTCTAAAAACGAGAATCTGCAAATACAAAATTATGCGACTATATTTTACGAAATAAAATGCGATGGCACGAAATAACCTACTTTTAATTTCTCACTCAAAAACGCCTCTTGAATATTTTCGGATGCATAATAAATTATAAAGTAACATCAGTAACATCCATGTAATACTTACAAAAGGAATGTCTTTGACTTCTGTGGGCTCACAAGACAAACCATTACCGCAAGGGCAGAACAAAATGTATTTCTCTCCGTGGAATGGCAACCTGTCATCTTCAACGCTGCATCGGTCACCTAAACACATTAGAAACAAATAAAAATATTTCTTTTAAGTATTGCAAATCACAAGCATAAAAAAATAAGAGAGAAATAGCTTCTAAACAGACTTTAAAACCCGCATAAATACTTTTCAACAAAAATCAAGTACAAGCGCAAAGCCTTTGACGTCACGGCTTGAATGACATCTTCGCATTTGTTTATGTTTATTTTTTGCGAAATTTGTGCTATCATTTCCGAATTTGTATAAAATATTTTAACATCGTAATA